ACAAGAGAAAGAGGAAGAGTGGGCGGGTGAGATGCATGTTCTAGAAGGTTTTGTGACCGCACGTGTGGGGCACAGCAAGGGAAATTAAATAGCTCCCCAAACAAGGCTGGAATGTCACTTGGCTTTTCTCCTCGAGCCCAGGACGAGCTTCCAAAAGGGCACAGAGAGCATGACCTGACCTGGGGGCAGGGTGAGGGCTCATGCCTGGGGGAGGGGTGGCAGTTCCGTAGAACGGTGGCTGGAGGCCAGGTGAGCCTGACCAGCCAAGTGTGGCTCTGGGACATGGTCCGTGGGGCTGTCACCACCAGTGCCAGGAGCCCAGGCAGGTGCCCCCGGAACTCTGAGAGTGGGACACAGTCCAACAGTGCCTGATGGTGGGCAGAGTAGCTCTCAGACCCGGCCTCCACCATAGGTGTGATCAGGGTGTTGGTGCCATACCCAACAGGGCAGCACCCTAAGTTTAATGGGTCCGTGCAATTCTTTTTTTTTTTTTAATATATTTTTATTTATTCCAGAGAGGAAGGGAGAGGAAGAGAGAGAGAAAAACATCAATGAGGAGAGGGAATCGTTGATTGGCTGCCTCCTGTATGTTGGACCAAGCCCGCAACCCAGGCACGTGCCCTTGACCAGAATCGAACCTGGGACCCTTCGGTCCGCAGGCCGACGCTCTATCCACTGAGCCAAACCAGCTAGGATTGGTTCGTGCAATGCGTAAGGTGTGCCTGGAGGGATACTCCTCAAAGAATTCCGGGGACCAGTAGCTTTGGGAAGTCCTGCGCGCCTCACTGCTCTCCCGAGGCCAGCAGCCCGCCGAAGGCCCTGGAGACCTGCAGTTGGCGTTGAACACCACCCTTTCCTCCCCACACCCCCACCCCCAGGGTGTCCTCTTGCTGATCCTCTTTGAGACGCTGCTCTGACCTCCAGGACGCACCAGCCGGGGGCAGGGAGTCGGGTCAGCAGGAGAGGCACGTTCATGGGAAGGCTGGGAAGTTATAGGTCCTGGTCCCTGGAGGAGGCTCCTTGTGGGGTGCATCCTCCTGTCCTCTCCCTCGTGGAAGGATGGGACTAGGGCTTAAAAGGTCACAGGGATGAGGCAAGGGTATCCTGGACCAGCTCTCCGTTCATGGGTCTTAGGGAGAAGCATTCTCTCTCTTTGGACTCTGCCACACCTGCCTTCGTGGATGGATGGGCAGAGGAGCGGCGCTGTCCTCTGTCTGCTACCCTTACTTCCATGGCAATGCACGCCTCCCCAATGGTGCTGTCTCCCACCACACTCAGAAGAACCGCCCCCCCTGCCCCCACCTTATGTAAGCATGCGCTCTGTACTGCGATCTCCTCCCACCACCAGGAACAGACACTGTTGGCTGCCACCATGTTCTTAGAAATGAACCAATGGGTTATGGTAGCATCTCAGTTTCCCCATTCCAAGCAGGGCAAGACTGGCTCCGCACCACCCATGTTTTGGGATAATAAAAATGCATTTTTAAATCTATTCTTATGCATTTCAGAGAGGAAGGGAGAGGAAGAGAGAGAATCATCGATGCTGAGAGAGAATCATGGATCGGCTGCCTCCTGTACACCCTGCACTGGGGATTGAGCCCGCAATCCGGGCATGTGCTCTGATGGGGAATGGAACTGTAAGCTCCTGGTTCACAGGTCGATGCTCAGCCACTGAGCCCCGCTGACTGGGCTAAAAATGCATTTTTTAAAAAATAATGATCGGAGGGATCTCGGTGTCGGCTCGGACTGCGCTGTCCTCGGGAGGAGGCCCAGGCCACAGCCTTGACTGTGATCCTGCTCTCTGTCAGCTATGAGGGCCCTGGGGGGGCCACGGGTCCCATGCTGCCCCCCACCCCCCGGCTCAGGAGGAGGAGTCACCTCCATCACACTATTACTCTCCCCGGACAGGCTGGGGGTTGGGTTAAGCAACAGAAGGGGCTGAGAAACGACTTCCCATCCAGCTCCTTCCAAGGCCGATGGGTGGGGTCAAGTTCACTCGCCTTTGGCTATCGACCAACCTAATCGCATCACCCTTGGTGGTCCTCCCTCATGCTCCCTGACCGTCCCAGAACATTCTAGACGGCTCCTGCTCCTCCTCCCTCCCTCCTAGGCCCCCGGCCCCTGGCCCCCGATTCCCCCACTTCGTTCCCTTCTCTCTACCCTCCACCCATCCCTGACCTGTGTCTTCCAGCCCGGACTCCAGGCCTGGTGGAGCCGTGTGGGTTCTAAGTCAAGTCTCACCGATGTCTCTCTCTCTCTCTCTCTGGGACGTGCTGGGAGCACTGTCCGTGAGGTCTCGTCGTCGGCATTATTTCTGATGAGTATTTTTACACCTGATAGCCTCTCGGAGCGATGGCCTTCGCCTGGCCTCGGGGAGGGGGAACCCTTCCCCAGGACCGGCCCAGCAATTAGAGCATCTTGTTAGGTCGGAGGCCCAGGACAGTGAGGACAGCTGGCGAGCTCGTCTCCGCCAGCGGCTCTGGTTAACATCAGCCCCGAAGCTCTCTGTAAACACGTGAATAATTGATCGCCCGGCGCTCGCATAGCTACCGCGGATCTGAGCCGTCTGACTCATTTGCGAGCCGATCCTGTCGTCTGGCTGCCATAACACGGGAGGAATGATGATGGTTTCTTGGAGATTCTTCTGGGGCTGGAGTTGCCAAGACCGAGGCTGTAATGGTTTGTTATGATGACCCTTGTCGTTCCATTAGGGCTCAATTGCTTTAAAAAATGAAGTGCGCGGACTTTCGGAACGTTGTTAGCTTCTACGCTGACCTGACATCATAGTTTACATTGCAGGATGTATTAATGGCCGAGGAGTGTTTTCATGTCCCAGGGACAAGTTTTAACAACCATAATCTGCCCTCAGTCATCATAAATACAAACGTATTGGTCAAACAGATCTCGTTAATGTGGCCAAGATAAATGCAGGCCTATATTTTAAGGCAGCCGAAAGTCCGAGAGAATATAGTTGGAGCTTTTTTTTTGTGTGGGGGGGGCGAAGGGATCTCGTCGACCTGCTCTCCGAAGGCTGAGAGAATGAGGATTGCCCCCTCGGGTTTTCCTTGGGACAGATAGAAAAGTCGTGGGGCTGTCCAGCAAGATTTTTCTCATTGTTTCTGGACCCCATGAATGCCTGGTGGGGCGAATCTCCGTCCTTAAAGCCGTATTCTTCTCATCACGCTCACAGGGCTTTCGGAAAGAAGCCATGAAGGTCGCATGTCTTAGCGGTGTGTTGCTCAACCTCATTTCCTTGAGTCCCACCGCATCTTAGAGTTTTAATTCTATTAAATCACCCCCCCCCGCCCCCCACGCCCCAGCTTTGCGCTTCCTGGGGGAGGAGTCCCGGTCCCTCAGATGTTTCTGACATTTCGCATCGTTCCAGTTGGCAATCCAGATGTTGGCAGGCGACGTTCTGGGCAGGAGCTGCAGGACGGATCAAACACTCCGTCTTCCTCTTCGTTACATCACACTCCCAAGCGTTGGCCTGCCTCCGTGGTGGCCACGTTGTAAGCTTCTCAGGCAGGGTATAAATCCTTGTTGGAGGAACCCTTTCTGAGTGTGTTTTCAGTCTGGACCAGGAAAATGTGCTTAAGGCAGTCATGGCTCCAACGCTCCCTTCTGAGAAAGCCAGCTGTTTCCAGGGCTGAGTTCATCTCCCTCCAGACACGGGGAACACGGTGCCACAGCTGACCTCCGTGTGGGTTGTGGTCACCTGGCGATGACTGATGACGGCTGCAGATCACACCGTTTTCCCTTCTTCTTTGAGCGGAAGCTTCCCTCTGGGTCTGCTCTGGCCTTTGCCAGCATCACAGACTGGGCTGAAGAAATATGATTTTTGCCTGGAGCCTCTCTGGGGCGAGGGATTGAGTTATTTTCAAAGTGTTGTTGGCGTGAGGATGCTTTGTGTGGATTAAGCTTTTTTTTAAAAAAAATATTTTTAGCCCTAACTGGTTTGGCTCAGTGGATAGAGCGTCAGCCTGCGGACTGAAGGGTCCCAGGTTCGATTCCAGTCAAGGGCATGTACCTTGGTTGTGGGCACATCCCCAGTAGGGTATGTGCAGGAGGCAGCTGATCGATGTTTCTCTCTCATCGATGTTTCTAACTCTCTATCCTTCTCCCTTCCTCTCTGTAAAAAATCAAGAAAATATATTTTAAAATTATTTTTATTGCTTCCAGAGAGGAAGGGAGAAGGAGAGAGAGATAGAAACATCAATGATGAGAGCGAATCATGGATCAGCTGCCTCCTGCATGCCCCCTCCTGGGGATTGAGCCTGCAACCCCAGGCATGTGCCCTGACCAGGAATCGAACAGTGACCTCCTGGTTCATAGGTCGACGCTCAACCACTGAGCCACACCGGCCAGGCTGTGGTTTAAGTTGTTGATCTCTTTAATAAGTGAGGCACATACAACCAGTTCATAGCAGCGCCGTCCTCAACAGTCAAAGGTAGAAGCAACGCAAGTGCTCATGGACGGAAGGATGAGTAGACAACATGGAGTATTACTCAGCCTTCAAAAGGGCGGGAATTGCGACACGTGTCACAATATGGATGCACCCTGGGGACATGATGCTGAGGGCAACAGGCCAGTCACAGAAAGACAAATACAGTGTGATTCTGTCTCTGTGAGGTGCCTAGAGTAGACACATTCGCTGAGGCAGGGAGTGGAATGGAGGCCCCCGGGGGGCTGGGGGCGAGGAGAGGGGGAGTGACTGTTTCATGGGGACAGGGTTTGAGTTGCACAAGCTGGGGAGAGCTCTGGAGAATGGCCGGTGGTGATGGTTGTGCAACAGGGCGAATGCACTTCATGCCGCTCCACTGTGCACTTAAAAACGGTTACCAGGGTAAATCTGGAGTGAAGTGTATTTTTACCACAATGAAGAAATAATCATAAAAAAGGAAATAAAGGGAGGCACATCAGAGACTTGGGGTGGAATTAATTCCAGCGCTCAGGCCCCTTCCTGGAATGAAAGCCCGGACGGCTTCAAGAACCCCACCCCACCCAGAACATCAAGAAGTCTTCTTGCCGACACCAAAGAGACGAAGACCTGGAAATGGAGTGTCTTTGAACTTCATCTTCATTGGGGGTGAGATGATTATTTAAGTTCAGACCTTAATTTCTTCTTTGAACTCCTCTGGACCTTGACTTCTAAGGGGGGTTCATTTCAGACTTGGGGACTCCCTGGTAATTTGACATTTGAAAGGGGGCGGTGAAGTTCAAGTTCAGGACATCTTCTTGTCGGGGTGCCCTGCTGTTTCCCTGCGGGGCCTCTGGTAGGTGGTGTTGGTCAGGGCAGCTAGAAATAATTTGATTTTTTTGGAAAATAAAAGAGGATCTGCATTTTTCCATCTGGACCACAGAAAGGTCTCGGAGAGCGTAATGGACTGCACTGACCCGTCTTCGAAATTCCATTGCTGCTTTCTGTATTCCTACACTACTTCCTCCAGCCTTGCTTTTTATCAGTAATAAAACAGATAGTTTGATGTAAAAATAAAAAAATAAATAGGACTTTTAAAAAAGATTTTTTAATTGATTTTTGGAGAGAGAGGAAGGGAGAAGGAGAGACACAGAGAGATCAATTTGTTGTTCTACTTATTTATACTTATTTGTGCGTTCATTGATTGGCCCAAACCCTTGGCATACTGCGATGATGCGTTAACCCAGCGGTTCTCAACCTGTGGGTCGCGGCCCCTTTGGGGGTCGAACGACCTTTTCACAGGGGTCGCCTAAGACCATCGGAAAACACATATATAATTACCTATTGTTTTTGTGATTACTCACTATGCTTTCATGATGTTCAATTTGTAACAATGAAAATACATCCTGCCTATCAGGTATTTACAGGACGATTCATAACAGTAGCAAAATGACAGTGATGAAGTAGCAACGAAAATAATGTTATGGTCGGGGGTCCCCACAACATGAGGAGCTGTATGAAAGGGCAGCGGCATTAGGACGGTTGAGAACCACTGCTCTAACCCATGAGCTACCCCGCCAGGGCTTTTGTTTTCATGTTTAAGACAAGGTGAGGGTTCGGGAAGCTGGTGAGTGATGGCTAGGGAGGTTGTGTGTGCCAACTGGTTTTTCTCTTCGTCCACCTCCCGGCCAAGCTTCAGAGGGAACTCTCTGTATGTGAGCTGGAAAAGATGAATTTCAGGCTTCCTTGAGAGCTTTCAAGCCTTAAATCCTTCTCAAAAATAACCTTCTCTCAGGCATCTCCAGGCCCAAGGAATTATAGAGCGTTTCCTTGGGCTGTGGAATGGCCGTGTGAGTCACTCCGGTTCCTTGGGCCTTTGAATAGGAGGATGTCATAAATCTGGAAGTATTTGTTCTGGTTTGTGACGAAGCAGAACTGTAGCATGTCAAATCAGATGCTGGTACAAGCCTATGAAATGGCACTTTTTTTTTGCCCCCCACCTTGGGGCATTGCGGCATGAAGCTTTGGGGCAGTAGAAGAATGTTTTATAGCCTTGGATACCGAGCCTACTTTTAGCTGGCTTTTCTCTCTGAGCACGAATGAGGAGTAAAAGTTCTTGTGTGTAGCTCTCTGTTTTCCCAGCGCGGGTGCAAGGCTGGGTGGAGGCGAACTTACCCCTTTGCAGGCTGTTGTTTGGACTGAAACCAGAGGCCTGGGCTGTGTGTGTGTGTGTGTGTGTGTGTGTGTGTGTGTGTGTGTTGGGTGCAGGGGATGAATGGGATCCTGGCACCCTGGGATGTTTGGGTTGGGAGGGATCTTAGTTCACCCACTTCCTCATTGCCCGGGTCGTGTTCATGGCCCTGTGTGATGACAGCCTTGACCCAGA